GAGCGGCGGCCACCCCGGCTCCGCAGCCCGCGCGGATGTGAGATTCCGAGCTCTTGGCGTCTCCCGATCGCCGACTGCGGCGCGGCGCTGCCTCGCCGTGGAGGCGGCGGCGGGGCCGGGCGTGCGGCTTGTGGATTTTTTAAAAAAATTTGTCTCCGTGGAGGACCATTTCCTCTCGACATGCATCCCTCCGGATAGACCGAACATCCCTTGGTCCATCCCCCGCCCCGCGCGGTCAGAGGCAAGCGCTGGGTGTGCGAAGAGGATCCGGGTTGAATTCTGCGCCCCCGGTTCTCATCCCTGCCTCATCCCACCGTGCGCCCCCCTTCCGGGAGTCGAAATTTCCCGGGGATTATGTTTCGCAAAGGTAGGTAAGCGCTGGGCGCGGCGCCCGCTTCCCGCTGCACGGACCCAGAGAGCCAGCCAGGCGGAGGCAGCCCCGGCGGCTTGCAGCGGAGAGGACAGCTAGTCTCCTTCTCTTCTGGAGGTGCTGCTGGTGGTGGTGGGGGGGGAGAGACTTGCGCCAAACACGGACGTCCCACAGCTCTCCCCCCCTCAGTGTTTTCCGTTAGGAGCCGGGCGAGGAAATACATGCACTCGCTGAGAATCGCCCGCGCCAGGGCGCAACACTACAAGGTGTAGGGAGTGTGCGCGGTGGGGCAAGAGGGGACCCAGGGGTCCCGGTGCCTTGGAGCGCCGGGCCGTCGGTTCTTCCCTTCCTGCCCTCGGGGCAGACAGAGTGACCCCGGCCCCTCTCCCTGCCCCGACCATGGTAGTGTTCAATGGCCTTCTTAAAATTAAAATCTGCGAGGCTGTGAGCTTGAAGCCCACAGCCTGGTCGCTACGCCATGCGGTGGGACCCCGGCCGCAGACTTTCCTTCTCGACCCCTACATCGCCCTCAACGTTGACGACTCGCGCATTGGCCAAACGGCCACCAAGCAGAAGACCAACAGCCCGGCCTGGCACGACGAGTTTGTCACCGACGTGTGCAATGGGCGCAAGATCGAGCTGGCCGTCTTCCACGATGCCCCCATTGGCTACGACGACTTCGTGGCCAACTGCACCATCCAGTTCGAGGAGCTGCTGCAGAACGGGAGCCGCCACTTCGAGGACTGGGTGAGTCGGAGTGCCTCCCGGCCAGGAGCCTGACCGTGGGGTCCCGGGAGAAGAAGCGCTGGCCTTGCCTTTGGTCATGGAACACGGGGATTTAATGCCGTCTGGGGTATGAGTGTGTTTGTAAGTCTCAGTTTCCTTGGTGAGGCATACTCCGCCTCGTAGTTGGAGAGAAGTAGGTATTGGGGCAAGGAAGCCGAGAATCGGAAAGAGGATACTGCCCTTTGTCCCCTCCGCCCCCTCCAGCCGGCGGATGGTGCAGGGGGCTCACAAGCTGGGAGAGCCCGGGGTCATTGGTGCTACAGGATCGGTTGGTCCAGGATCCCGCGCCTTTCGTAGGCGCGCGGTGGGCTGGCGGTGTGTGATTGTGTGTGGGTGGGTCCCTCGGTCCTTGGAGAGGCACGTGGAGCCTTAGGCTGAAGGCTTCTTGCACGTCCTGGCTTTGTCCTGCGTAGCGGAGTGAGGAGTTGCTTTATTTTTCTCTCCGGGGAGGAAGCTTGCTTGTTTCTATTCTACTGCATAGCGGTTTGCTCATCTTCTGAAACACAGGGAGAAAAATGTGTTTTCCGGGATGTCCCCTCTACGGTCCCAGAAACATCAGCCGAGTTTGTTCTGCCCAATTCATGTCCCATCCGTCCAGAATGAATGCTGTATTTTAAAAATGGTTTTGCTTGTGGGTAATTGGAAGTCAGTACTTTGAATCCTATTTAAAGTTATATTGTTGCCCTGTATTGATTTTCAAGATCATGTGCAATGAGATACTATTCTAAGACCAAGACCGAGTTAATTGATTACATTGTCAAAATAATAGGGAATTGGAAACAGGCCTCCATCAATGTACTATCAGCCAAATGCATTCAACCTTGGCACCCTGGAAAAGCAGGGAGAAGCAAGCTTGGTTTGGCTCTTCTTGGAGGGAAGGTGTTAAATTCGGAAATGGATTTTCTGTTATTTTCAGGTTTATTGCTTGTTTCTGTGAAGAGCAGGTGTGCTATGGGTGTATATGTTTTCAGGGTCCTTTGGATTCTACACAGAAAGAGAGATATAAGATCCTCATGGAGAGATGAAGAAGAATCACCTTCTAATTACTGAAAAAAAAAAAAACAAAAAAAAAAAACCTTCCCTCTTCCCATCAGTATCCCAGGTGTCAGAGGTTGCATACGAATCACCTTGGCGTATGTCCTTAACATTTTTTTTATAGGAGATAGAGTTTTAGGGGAAAATATGAAAAGCCTGTTCTCTTTATGCTCAGGGATGTGATGTATGTAGCCTGCCTGAAACCATGGTTACGGTTCTTAACCAGGAAGCTCCAACAAGCCACATGGGTGCATCCTAAGAGAATCGTGGCTTACACTTTGGGAAGCAGGCAAACCTTTATGGAATCCCAAAGAACACAGTGCCATTTCATTTCCTAGTGGCCCTCACCTCCCCCGCCCCCCACCAGGGTTCACACACATTCCCCATTTTTTTTACACATATGGCCTTTAAAGTCCTTTACTCTTGTAAGCTGTGCTTGTCTGATGGGGGGCTGAAGGGATAACTAATTTGAGAGCCAGACCTTAATACTGAAAACCTTAATATTCTTTGAACTTTTATTGCTGTTTGTTTGTTTTTCATAGAATAAGCGAGGGAAGAAAAACCCATAACTCTGGTAGTGAGGAGATGGGGCCTTTTGCTGTGCTTACAGGTGCAGGGGCTTGGGCAGCAGGCTGGGCGCAGAGAGGATGAGCGCAGGTCTGTGTTTATTCCCACAGTAGATTTTGGTTCACGGGAGAGTGTCCCAGCATCTGGTGGTGCTTCACTGTGGCCCACCCAAACCCCGGGTGGACCAGGGCACCATGCCCACCCTTCAGCACTTTTATTGAAGTGTGCGGTCAGCAGTACGTGCTTGGCTACCGTCCTCTAAGGTTCTGAAAAGCCTACTGGACTTGGCCCTAGACCACTAGTCCACAGGCAGGTGTAAGAGATAAGGAAATTGAGTCCTCGAGAAGCCAGGTGGGTACCCATGGCCACATGACAAGCAAAGAGGGGTTGGAAGGAGGGCCCGTACCTCCTGTTACCCACTACCTGCCTAATGCCCCCCACTCTACTCCCCCTGTAGATTTATGTGCTGTTTTTATGATGTTTTCAAAATCATTATCTCTTTTGCCTTGTTAAAAAAACCCAAAACCATTGCTGTTGAATCAATTCCAACTCATAGTGACCCTGTAGGACAGAGTAGAATTGCCTCATAGGGTTTCCAAGGAGCGGCTGGTGGATTTGAACTGCCGACCTTTTGGTTAGCAGCCAAATTGCCTTATAAACCCAGTGCCGTCAAGTCTATACTAAGTGTAAATTACGTATGACAGGTACCGGACAGACTGAAAAACTTGAAATACAGTGAAGCCCAAAGTCATACGGTGCATCGAGTAGTGGAGCTGGTCCTGACCCCTCATCCAATGTTCTTTTTACTGGAGGATGTTGTGGCCACTCTAGCATCTCAAGACTGAAAAGAGGGGTGCATCAGCAAAGGTAGCTGGCCCAGGAAGTTGCAAGTGGACTGATTGAGGTCACCTTTCCCCTTTTCACCAGCCAGGCTACACCCCAGAATCACACCTCTGGGTAGAATTTCCAGAGTTCAGGCCTGTGTGCTCCTTACCTAGCAGTGATGAAGATCTGTCCTTTCTAGGGTGTGGTTAAGAACTGTGGCCTGAAGCTCGGAGATGAGGAGGGCAAGAAACAGCTGCTCCTCTCATTGCTGTGGAACATTTAATCCAACTCCGTGTTGAATCCACACGTCTTCACTAAGTGCTCAGATCCAACCGGGGAGGTTTAGCACTGTAGGTAATCAGAGGTAAAAGAGGCCCTGCATTGCTCTCAAGGGGCTTCTATTTCACTAGGAAATGACATTAAGCAGATCCACATAAACATTTAAGTAGCAATTAGATTCCAAATAAGTGGTACCATCAGTATGTTAAAAACGTTCAGAAACAGAGTATGCTGGGAGAGCAGGAAGAATCCAGGAGGGTACCAGGGAGGAGGCAGGACCGCAACTGGACTTGAAATGTTGGGTAACATTTAAATAGTTATCTAGGAAAAAAAACACACAAACAAACCCATTGCCGTCCAGTTGATTCCAACTCATAGTGGCCCTATGGGACAGACCGGGTTTCCAAGGAACGGCTGGTGGATTCGAACTGCTGACCTTTTTGGTTAACAGCCAAGCTCTTAACCACTGTGCCATCAGGGCTCCAGTTATCTAGAAGAGGAGACAACATTCTAGGTATGGACAGGGCCAGAATAAAGGTAGAGAAAGCCTGTGGTTGGGATTGGAGAATGAACAAGCATAGCTGAAACTGAAGGTTCCCCTTTGAAAGGACCAGGACAAGGTTTCCCAAATTTAAGCCTCTGCTGTATCTGTGTGGGCTTTTATCTGCGTGTCACCTGTGCTATTATTTACTTAATATTTTTGAAAAAATTACTCTTTATTTTTCCACTTGGCTTCCTTTTGAGCCCCAGTAGTAGTGAAACCATGGGTTCAGATATTGTACTTATAATTTGCCTTCATTCACATTAAAATAAGCATGCAGCCTCTAGAAAAGAAAAGAAGTTCATCTCAGGTACCTCTTAAAATCATTAATGATATGGGGGCCACACTTTGGAAACTCTGGAGCAGGAGGAAGTTTAGAAAGCTGAGCCAGATTATAGAATGTTTAAAAGCCTTTCTGAGATAATTATTCTCCAGATAATGAGAGACGTTTCAGTTGGGATGACAAAGGGAGCTGCTTTAGAGAAAGCTCATCACAGAGGGAAGAGAAGATTCCGCTTGTGCCTGAAGCAGAATCCCGGTAAATACCATCGGGATAGCTGGGTTTTCCAAGAGCTAGGTAATAACACTACTCAGACTTTGATATGCAGAAGAATCACTAGGGGAGGGTGTTAAAAATATAGATCCTCAGATTCTGCCTTCAGAGCTTTTGATTCTGGGGTTTGGGGTGAGTGCTAGGGATCCACATTTTTAACTAGCTGTCCTCATGATTCTGACCAGACCGTGCTTTGAGAAACACTGGGCTAGAACAGAAACTGTGGGTGGGGAGGGCCTCAGATAATTAATGTAGCAAGCTTTAGGGTATAGAATATCCTGAAATGTGATAGTAATTATTGTGGTTTTTTATCATTCTTAAAGCAAGATTTATAAGCCTAATTGCATAAAGTAGAAGGATTGGGATTAATGTTAGAACCAGAGGCTGAGTAAATATTGGATGGAGTTGCGTTTGCATTTAGGTCATATGGGGAGAAGGGAGCAGGGTGAGGGCTGGCATGCAGGCTACAGCTTGATTTTGCCCTATAAAACGAACAAACTAGCAAAAAACCAAACCGGTTGCCCTAGAGTCGATTCCGACTCATAGCAACCCTATAGCACAGAGTAGAACTGCCCCATAGGGTTTCCAAGGAGCCCCTGGTGGGTTTGAACTGCCGACTTGGTTAGCAACCAAGCGTTATAACCCCTGTGCTTCCTAAATAGTCTATATACTGAACTCAACTCCCTCTTCCTCCTCCTCCCCTACTTCTGAAGACAGCTTTGGTTTGTATCACTCCCTTGCTTCATCGTGTAGAAGAAGCTCATAATACAGTGGTAATGGCAAAATGTCATCTTTTGAAAGGTGGTTCAGCAGGGCCAAGGAGCCCTGGTAGCATAGTGGTTGAGTCCTCGGCTGCTAACCTAGAGGTTGGTGGTTTGAACCCACCAACAGCTCCGCGGGAGAAAGAAGTGGCAGTCTGCTTCCGTAAAGATATACAGCCTTGGAAACCCTATGGGGCAGTTCTACTCTGTCCTATAGGGTTTCTATGAGTTGGAATCGACTCGATGGCAACGGGTCTCAGTAGAACTCTTAAGGGCATAGCTTTGGAGTCAGGCTGCTTGGAGTTCGAATCCTGTCTCTGCCCCTACCAGTTGTGTGACCCTGAGGAAGCTACTTAACCTTTCTGTGTTTCTGTTTCATCGTCTTTAAAAAGTGGATGAT